TTTTGTATTTTTAGTAGAGACGGGGTTTCACCATGTTGACCAGGATGGTCTGGATCTCTTGACCTCGTGATCCACCCGCCTCGGCCTCCCAAAGTGCTGGGATTACAGGCTTGAGCCACCACGCCCGGCCCACACACAGTTTTTAATTTTTAGCAGAAACTCCCAAAGTGTCCCCTGGAATAACCTGTATTCTCCTGGAAGAGGGCCCTGGTTCCCATCGGGGGGTTCTTTTTTCCTTTTTCCTTTTTTTTTTTTTTTTTGAGACGGAGTCTCGCTCTGTCGGCAGGCTGGAGTGCAGTGGCATGATCTTTGCTCACTGCAACCTCCGCCTCCCAGGTTCAAGTGATTCTCCTGCCTCAGCCTCCTGAGTGGCGGGGATTACAGGCACACACCACCATACCCGACTAACTTTTTGTATTTTTCTTTTTTTAGTAGAGGTGGGGTCTTACTATGTTGGCCAGACTGGTCTCAAACAACTGACCTCGTGATCTGCCCGCCTCAGCCTCCCTAAGTGCTGGGATTACAGGCGTAAACCACTGTTCCCGGCCCCATCAGGAGTTTCTACAGCATCTAGGCCCCCTGGGGTGTGTCCCCATCAGACAACCTGGGTGCTGGTGAAGCTCCCGTGACAACTCCTTGCAGGATCCTGGGCTAGTCACTTCCCCTCTTGCAGCCTGAGTTCATCTTCACCAGGTTGTTTTGTTGTGGAGGCAAAAAATGAGATAAAAGATGGAGCATATCTCACTTGGGGACCTCAGTAAATGTGAATTCCTGCACGTGCAGGGCTGACCTCTGTATGTGCTCTTTTACCTGGCCCCTAATCCTTTATGATGGGACAATCCCATTGGTTCCTAACAGTAGCTGTCATCACTACTGGGCCCACAGAAGTGCAGGGTTGGGTGAAAGGTGGGCTTGGCATGTAGGATCTGTTAACTTTGGAGAGACAGCCCATCTCTCAGCTCTCTATCCTGGAGAACATGGAAGGGTGTCCCCTCTCACAAGGAGAAAGTTCTGTGGCTGGTCGGAGAAGGGATATGGGTTTGTCTTCCTACCCCCACCCCTGGCCCCACACTGTGATTGTGCTATGCAGTCCTCTGCCAGGATCTTCAACGCCCTGCTGCCACTGCCTGCTTTGCTAAGACTATGTGAGACTGTAGCGTCATTTTTCATCCCACAGGCCGAGGGGACAGAGTGGTGATTAAGACGAACAAGGTTGGCTGGGCATGGTGGCTCACGCCTGTAATCCCAGCACTTTGGGAGGCTGAGGGACATGGATCACTTGAGGTCAGGAGTTCGAGAGCATCCTGGCCAACATGATGAAACTTCGTCTCTACTAAAAATACAAAAATTAGCTGGGTGTGGTGGTGTGTGCCTGTAATCCCAGCTACTCGGGAGGCTGAGGCAGGAGAATCCCAGGATGCAGAGGTTGCAGTGAGCCAAGATTGCACCACTGCACTCCAGTTTGGGCAACAGAG